AGCCAGTGTATCATTTTAACTATGAATGTTTAGTAACTTAATATTTTCTCAATCACCTCCCCCATCATAAATTGTCTTTGGCTTTGTGAGTGCTTTACTATGGAGCACAGGTATTATTCTGACTTTCCTGATACTTTGCCTTTAATACTAACATATAAAATGACAAAATGTATATGCATAGATATAAATAGATACACCCTAAATATCCCTCCTCTCACCCTCTTGGAAACTCCTGCTGCCTCTCTTCTCTTCAGATTCTTTCAATTACATTATCCACAAGCAGAATGAAATTGAATAGGTCTCTCTCAAATACTGCCAGTTTCCATTTTTTCAGTGAGCAGTATTACAACAGGCTATTAATGTGAAGCCTGTCAACCAGAAAAAAAAAAAACCAAAAACAAAACATTTAGGGTATTGAATTAATTTTCTTTATTCTCACATGCAGTGAGTAGAAAGGAAAGGCAATTTGGTGTGTTTATGAGAGCTGGGATAATCATGTTAGATAGATAAATTGGGGTGGATGGGGGGAAATATCTGTTTTCTCATAAGATGATTATCAATACTTACCCATTACCAATACATCTTTACTAACAAAGTTAACACATACAGAGGTACATAGCATGCTTATTGTCTCAGAGTCACAAGATTATTATAATTAACACTCAAGTCACACTGATTTGAAGCATAATTTCTTCCTTAGAAGAGATTTCTGCTGGAGAATGTGAAGTGTAGCCTTCTAGTTTTGCTTGGTTAAGCCTTTCCTTTACCAGACTCCCACAAAACTGCTTGTGTAGCACCGCTGAAGCATTTAAACTAGGAATGTGCCTGCTTTTAAGGGGAGAAGGCAAGAATTTTATTTCTTGCCCACTTCTTTTGTTGGCATTTTTATTTCTGCTCCTGGAGGGGGGGGAGGAAGACAAACATGCCCTCAGTTCCTTTTCCCCATGCTAACAGAGTAGCTTTTTCTCTGCGGCAAGCACACCTTCCAGACAGGGAGTTGCTTTCGGACTTGAGTGGTTCACTCCCTTCCTGTTTGAGACCAATTCCATCTCATTTGCGATGCTGTTAGTCAAGGAAGTGGCTATCCTGAGGTCACTCCTGATCCCACCCTTTCCAAATGGCACTGCAGCCCTTTCTTCTGAAACACCACCCCCAAGATTGGGCCCTCGCTGTGGTGAACAAGCAATGTAAATCTGTCAAGATTAGCCACAACTGGTGCATGTTGAAATTCTCCAAAATAATTTGAAAGCTGTGGTTTGAAAAACGATGCTGGCTATTTATTAAAACAGCAAGCATGATCAGACCAAGCCAACTTGCTGGCTTAACAGATGGAAGCTTGTTAAAAATCTTTATTTCAATATGTTAAGAAACCAGTATTGCTGCAAATTGTGAAGTATGACTTGTGTTTCAGGCCCCAGTGGAACGGATGTCTCATGCTTTGAAACCCTCTGCTCTATGTTCAAGACCCAACGTTTGCCACTTCATAATGTTTTGATTTGTTTTGCTGTTGTTTTTCTGGATTTTTTTTTTTTTTAAAGAAGTCAACTATTCCAGTATTTTTAATAGCTATCCCATATTTCCTGTCTTTTACCTATGGTAGGTACTCTGATACTTTTTGTCAGTTGAGGGGAGTATGATGATTACTTCATGAAGTTCTGGTCTACCATCTTTACTATCTATATAACACTGTTTTGGTGTTTTTACATCTGAAGTATATAGAGACTTAAGTTTTATTCCCAAGCTCCCACTGCATGTTACAAGGAGAAAAATCTTCTTGTACTGTTATAGACTAAAAGATTTCTTTCTCTGATTTCTTTTCCTCTCATCAGAAGGAATATTAAAAAAAAAAAAGAGAGAATTCACTTAGCCATGTCAAATCCATAGAATAAAGTAACTGGTAGTGAGGAAAAATGACATAATGATGTTCCTAAGCTGAAAAAGGGGCCTTTTGCAAATCTATATGCTTGCCCAATCTTATACACTTGTTTTGGTACACGCATACATGCACATTCTTGGAAATCTTTGCAGGCAGCTGGTGCTCCTGATGTAGGCTGTGACACTCAATAGCAGGATTCTGACCCTACAGATCCCTCAGGTAACTCGCACACCTGGCCATACACCTATTCATCCATTCAAATATTCACCGTATGTTAATTAGATTGGTATACATGGGAACTATCCTAAGACTTTTGTTATTCTTTCTTAGAAGGAGGTCAGGCTAGGTGTCAAACAGGAACATGTGAATACGTCATATATGAGCATAAAAGATTAAGGTAAGTTTGTGTGCAATCATGAGGAGATTAATTTTCAATCAGAAAAACTAAAAATGGAAACATTTGGCACTTGGTTTTTCACTCCTGTAATCCAGTTTCCAGCTAAGATGAATAAAAATACCTTTCAGTAAAGGCAGTGAAACCACAAAGAAAGACTGCAATACGCACAGCTCCTCTCAGAGAAGCCCTACCACTTAACTTCTAAGAAATAATGTCAGTGTAAATCATGATGTGATGAATGCTTCACTGAAGTGATTCATGCCATATGGTCTGAAGAGCAAAATGGGCACAGTTTATTTTTAAAAGAATGAGAAATATGAACTTGGAATATTCATTGCTTTGTCCTGCCAGGCTGAACATTTGCTGAAGCAGAGGCCAGGCTTACTGCAGGTCTGTCTTCTCTTGCTCACTTAATAGCATATGTTGCAGCAGTTCAGGGCTTCAGACTTGCTCATAATGGAGTAATGCCTACAAAATTACAAGCACTACTCAGCACCATCTTCTGTGGAGATATGTTCACTGGGCATCCAGAGATTGCACTGCCTGCTCACTTTCTCTTAAAAGATGCTACCCGTGAGAACTTCACAAGCAAGTAGTCTTCACAAGACAATGACTACTTTGGTAGTGAGAAGCCAGTTAAATTCAGCCTTGACAAGAGGCAAAAGGTGCTGTCAGTTCTGTGAGTCACTCACCTTTCCCTTTTCTCAGGCTACTTATGCTCAACACCTTGCTTGCCATGTTGTTGTATATGTTCAACATGAGATTCCACTTAAGCAAGAAAAAATCTAACAATAAAAAAACTGGTTCTTCCAACATTCGTAACTCTTCTTTTGCAGTGCACCACAGGAAAAAGAAATGGGAGCAGATAAATGTGAATGCTGGGTCTGCAAAGAATGGGGTTTTGTTGTCAACAATACTGAAAGATATAAGCACATCTCACTAAAATCCTTAGGTTGCACAACAACTCCTTTTAAAGCAAATGACAAAAATCTCGGTAACTTCAACTGTAAGCAACAAACATTATAATACTGCAGAGTTAGACTGTGCGTTATTGATTTTATCCCAACTTGTGGATAGTGAAGTGCTATTGCCTCCTTAGACAAGCATTGGAAAAAGAGGCATGTTCAGTTATGTTGCAGGCAGTCTGCAGTGTGCTTATGGCTGCCTCTTTCTGAGCTCTCCCTCACCAGCTGGGCAGTTGTGTGCCCCAGGAAAGTACTTTGAGAGCAATCCATTTTCCAGAAATTGACTTTCATTCTTCAGAATTTATCGTTATAGGTTGTTTTGAGTAGGAGTTCATTTTGGACTGAGAACTTCCAAGTCACCACTTCAGGTGGTTTAGTCTGGCAGATGTCGGAAGAATGCTTTCTAAACTAAATGTTTGTAATGTGAGGGCAGTTTCAGCTAAAGCAAGGCAGCTCTTGCACTGACAGGTGGGATTCTTGTACCCAGTACAAACACATTCAGGCTCTGTATAGTCAGTACGTGTATCATTCACATCTACGTCACTCCCAAGATTGATGTAATTTATATACAGGCCAATTTCACCTTGCAGCCTGGTTCTACAATGCTCTAATGAAGGTGATACTGCCCTGGGTGGGGACTTGCAAATAATCCTTAAAAAATGATAGAGTTTCTTGAATGATTAAGAGTAGTTTAATATGGGGCTTGAAAGTAGCAAGCTGCTGCTGTTTAAATGTCATTGAGTCTGTAGAACAGTATCTTTTGTCTAGTAGGCTTGTGCTATTCTATAGGTGGAAGTTAGACTGTTTAAACTGATGCATAAAAAAAAATAGTAAAGATACTGCCTCATTTTAACATAATCCTGTTATTGATCTGTTTTATGCTCCATTCACGTAAGCTTCTCACGTTGACTTAGGCGTGTGCAAAATGCTGTCTTCATTTCTAAACTGTGCATATACAGTACAACATTGTGTGCAGGTAAGTTGTTGTGAGAAGGAAACGTTTACTACGTGCTATATTCTATTTCTTCTCTGCTCCTCTGAGTCCCTCTAGTGGTCAATAATTGCTTGCTACATGTTTCTCAGTGCTACAAACTGAGAAAGTTTGTACCTTCTGTTTACTAACATAGAGGCATCTCCCTCTCGTTTGAATTCAAGATATCTAGTTCTTATTCTTGGGCCACAATTTAGAAAGACAAAACAAGGGAATCTTCCCAAACATGCAGCTGTTTTATCTGTGAACAGATAAACTATGTTTACTAAAAATAATTTTTTAATTTGTTTAAGTAGCATTATAGATGCCTTGTAATTGTAGAGATTTAATACAAATTGGCAGGAGACCCAAATTCCTGCCTTCACTTGGCTTTCCACTTCCAGTATACTTAAGAGAAGTGTAGACAGTTGCTGCTGCACACTCTGCTAAGATGCCATTTCCTCCCAGTTTGGGTGGATTCAGGTCAACCCTGATCCAGACCTGTCCCCATTTTCTAACCCAAGCTGTGTGTTTCTGCCTCATTCACATGCTAGCGCTAAGATGTGCCTGACAGCTCAGTGATGGCAAGCTGCCAGACTAGTGAAAAAGAAATCTTGTCAAAAACCTTGTCCTGGTTTCAAATACATAGGGTTCTGAGGACAGAGCTGACAACAGAGAAGCCACATCTGCCTTTCCCACGAGGGTGATGGCCATATGCTGGGGCCTTTTCTGTTGGTGGTGGTGGTTGCATATTTCACAGAACATGTGGCAAGGGCAAAACCCAATCCCTTAGAAGTAAACTGCTACAAAGCATTTTTAGCCAGCTATATCACCATTTCTTGTATTCCTTTGCAGTGGATGGGAAACAGATAAATGGACTTAGAGAAAATTGTGAACTGAATCAATGGTGAAGTTGTAAGCAGATGTTAGGCAATATGCCTATAAGGTTACAACCAGAAATCTTTCAATTGCAGGTTTCAAGATGCAGTTTATGAAATTCCGACTTGTTATTCCTCATGCGTGTAATATTTATATAATGCAGGAAAGTTAGAAAGCAAAATACACTTCCGACATACAACAAAATTTAGAGACCCACGGAAGAATACTGCCACCTACTTGCACCCCACAGTACTTCTTATATTACCAGACTGCCTTCTAGTTACGATAGATTGTGTTGTGATAGTTTCAGTTGCCTCTCTGTTCTTCTTAGCATACACTGCTGTGTGTGTGGCATGAAGGTTACAGAAAAGAATGAGAAAGAAAACTGTATATTTCTACACATTTTTCTTTCCTACTCTCCTTACTAGATGTTTATTCAGACCCCAAATAAGAGCAGATGATTCTGAGAGAGTGGCAAAAGCCTGAAGTTTCAAGTATGAAATGAAGAGACAAGAAAGGTTGATAATGTTATTGCTACTTCAGCAGATAGGGGAAGGTATAACTGGGCCTTCAAGGCTTCAGCAGAAATGTTTTCTGAATGAAACAGTGCTTTCAACGTGGGATGCTGGTACTGATTGCACCACTCCTGAGTGAACTTCACAGTACTTTTTCCATTCCTGTTGCTGCTGGAATACCTTTATTCTATCTCAAACAGCACGTGCAAATGGAAGCCTTGGCAGAAATAAAGATTAAAATTATTTTAGGGTTGAGTCCGTTTCTCGAGGAGGAGACAAAAGGGCAAGGAAATTCCCCATGAACCGCTCTTCTCGTAAAGCAGGCAGTGCCACAAAATTCTGTGGTTTCTGTCATTCTTGAAGCTCTCCTGAAATCCTACATATGCTGTTAGTGTTAATGGTACTCAGTGCAAGCTCCTGGCTTGTGGACGGTTCGGCGAAGCTAAGTCCCCCGGTATGTAACAAATTACTTGTTGTTTGAGCAGGAATAAGAGTCTCCTTTCCAGGTTCCCTGTTCTCAGATGCAGCTCCGGGGTTCAGTTGCGTACCCAGAAGAGGCAGCGTGTCGGGGCGGCCCAACGCGCCGCGTCTGGCGGCGGTTGCACCGCGGCCCGGCGGCTCCGCGGAACGCAGCGGCGGGCGCAGGTTGCGGCGGGGCCGATTTGAAGTGGGCACAGCGCGGCGGCAGCCGCTGTGGCGGCATGAGGGAGCTGGAGTCTGGCCTGAAGATGGAGTGCGACATCTTGGACGCGCTGGAGGCCCTGGGGTAGGTAGCGGGGGAGCGGCTGCGGCTCTCCTTTCGCAGCGAGGCCTTGGGGGTGACGGGAGGCCCCTGGAAGGAGCGGCGGCCCGGCCGGCCCTGCTCCGCTCCGGCGGCGGTGCGAAGGGGCCGAGGGGCGCCGCGGCTGCGCTTGGGGCGGGCGGGGCTGCACGCGGCTGGGGACGGAGCGGAGCGCTGGCCGAGCGGGGCATCCTGCCGCACCTGGGCGCCCGTGCGGGGGCTGCCCTGCCGGAACGCCGAGGCCGCGTGTTGGTGGGCGCCTCCGCCGTGACGGAGCGCTCAGCGTGTTTAAAAGTATGCATATTTTCTGTTAAACCCGCTTCGTGTTATCAAGCTTTATCTCCCTGTGCAGGTACACGGGTCCCCTCTTGGAGGAGGAAGCCCTGAACAAAGCAGCACAAAGTGGATTGTCTTCACCGGAGTTTTTTGACCTCTGTGTTTGGTTAGGATCCCAGATAAAGTCGCTCGGTGACATGGAAGAAAGCATCACGTCAGCAGATGGTAAATGAGTGTTAATTTGTTGAAGCTATCTTGTTTGGGGGTTTCACACTTGACATTTAAGCTAGTAATAAAATTAATATTGAAATTTAAAAGGCAGCTAAGAGGTAGCCAAAGAGAGGCTGACGTTTTTGTGTATGTAGCTGCTAGATTAAGGTCTAACCTGGTGAAGATTCTTTCAAAAGGAAGAAAGGGGGAAGAAAAAAAAAAAGACAACCTATCATTGACAGTAAACCTGGGCATATGTGTTGTGGAGTTAGTTTGACTCCCGGAACTTGGTCGTCACAAAATGAATGACAGTTGCCCACTGCTTTGTGGCATACGCTGTTTGCTCGACAGCGATATTCCTGTGATCTGAAGGAGTAAGTGCTGCTGCCTCTCTGCTAGATGCGAGCTGCTGATTCACTCCAAATACTTGCATTATGGTTTCAGACTGCTATAGCATCAGCTTCTTGTTTAAAGGTTTCCAACCTTGTGATTCTATGATTCTATGATTCTAAAGCAAGAATGCAATATTGCCTTTGCTATTGAAAGTACTGTCTGTTTGTATGTAGGACCTCTTTATGAAGAAAGAAAATGTTACTGGAGTGGCAGGTGGCATTTGTCAGTGGTACTGAAACCTGCAATCTAAATGTAAAAATCATAAAATCTTAATTACTTGGAGGTTCCTCCTATTAATAAAAAATGAAAATTAAATTAAAAGAAAAACAATTAATGGTTTTTATTTATTTCTACAGGTGATAAAGATATAGAGAGCTTCCAGCTTGAGATTAGTGGCTTCTTGAGAGAAATGGCATGTCCATATTCATCACTTGTATCTGGAGACATAAAGGACAGATTGAAAGAGAAAGAAGATTGCCTTAAACTTCTCTGTAAGTTAAAATCATTTTTCCCCCTTACACCAGCCGAGACTGAGTACAGAAGAATTATATTGGGAAACTGATGGTGGCAAACACTTGAGATTTGACAGAAGAATGGAAATAACGGCAGGGAGCAGCGTGGTAGTATGAAACTAGCCAAGGAACTTAGCCTGGGGAAGGGTATTAGCAGTCAAGTATGTGGAGTTAACATGTGCAGGTTGAAGACAGGAAGCTAGATGAAAGTTAGTTCAGGTAACTGAATGGGAAACTGACACTGACCTGTCAGGATAGGACTGAGAAAGGGTCTTTTATCTCTGTCTTGTTTTACAAGAACATGGGTACAAAATTTGTCTTGCCTCTAAATCTGTCATTGTGATGCTTTTCTCTATAGTATTTCTAAGTACAGAACTTCAAGCTTTAAAGATACTGCACAGCAAGAAAAGTAAAAGCTCTCATTTGGAAAAGCACAACGAAATCTACCAGGAAGTACAAGCTATCTGTGATGCACTGGGCTTACCAAACTCCTCCTCATCCGATATTCCTCCTTTGTTAAACAGTGTGGAACAAAAGGTACAGGTTTTCTCTCTGTTGTTAACTTTTATGCCTGTAAGCATCCGTCTTAGTTGAGGGCCTAACAGTATGATTCGTTTTATAATGCCTAGTGTTTAACTGTTTCACTTATGAGGTAAAATATTTGAGTGGCTCCCTGAGGGTGAGGTATGTGGTGAGCCATGCTTTGCCATGCAAACTTAGGGCATGAGTTGAAGTAACACTTTTGTGTTATCCATTTAAATGCAAAAGACTTAGTCTGATAACAATTTATATACCTGCATTCTGAGAAGTAGTTAAATTTTAATAAAATTTTCCAAAATTTACATTTTTGCTCATTAGCTTATGATTATCTTAATTGCAAGTATTGATTTGTTAGTGCTATTTCCTTAGCTGTAAATAGGATGAAAATGCCTGAATTACCAGATTAGTCAATATGTAAACTTAAACCTTGCAGTAGAGGTATTTCAGTTATATCCCACTAAATTCTAACTCATTTAATGATGATGATGTGATATTTGTCTTTCTCACTGCAGAATTTATTTTCTCTGTCAGGCAGTTAGAAGTTTTACTGTTCATTCCTTCCTTATGCCTGGGGAGAATCAGTCCCTTCTTGAGATCTGTGGGAGATGAGTGGTTGCCTGTGTTTGCTCATTTTTATATCATAATGTTCAAGATGTGTCTGGATGAGGTGCTACAAGATACGGTTTAGTAGCTTAGAGGGTAGTAATGATGATAGGAGGATGGTCGGACTAGATGATCTTGTAGGTCCTTTCCAACCTTGTGATTCTGTGTGATTATTTTTTTCCTTCCTCCTTGCTCAGTGAGCTGGTGAATGACTGGAAGTTTTGTGGAGAGGGCCTGTTCCTTGCCTGATTTTCTTACGTGTGTGGCAGTACAGAACCTTTAATAGATTCATATACAAGAACAAGCACCCAGGTGGTGAAAATGTCTACATTCCCATAATGCCACTGTGCTTGATCCGTTTTGCTCAAATGGAATGTTTAAATCCAATCTTGGTAATAAACATTTTTGTGAGGATGGAGAAACAATTCTGGTGCTATTTTCTGAGGACTAAAACATCAGCGTTCAGCTGATCAGCTAACACTTGCCTAGGACTGTTGATTTTCCTCCAGATGGATATAAACCCTTTTTATATTCAGAGGGCTTTGTAGGCTCCAGCTATGGCTGGTGGCCTTCCTTGATTGCTTCTTTGTTTCTCTTCTTTGATGCAGGTGTAGTTTCATGCCTAGGTAAAGGAATAGGACTCCAGTTCTGCAGCAGCAGGCCTTCTGGGTCAGCTTCTCACCTACACACCTATGAGCTTAGAAGGTTTTCTTCAATTATGGGGTTCCTTGTCTGCCATATTTTGTGAAGTCCGACAGTCCCTATCGGTTAGGATCACATGCTTGCGTTGGTGCACAGGGCATTACTGTTACAGTTTCATTAGTGCTAAAGTGAGCAGAGTCTTAAAAACATGTTCTCTCTCAGTTTCTACCTTCCCAAACTGCCTTGAGCTGTTTTTTGGTGTTTTCCAGATCCATCAGCTCTGCCATGCTTATACAAGCTGCACTCACTTCGCAGCCTAGAAATGTGACAAAACTAGATCATTCGTTTTCTTTGACTACAAATTAATAGTGTAATTTGTGCTCTGAACTTTCTGGCCCTTACAAGTGAAGGATTTTTTTCCTACTGTTCAGGAGATTCCGTAGAATTTCTACTGTATGTTTCATTGTCCTTTATCCTTTAGTTTCATGTGGGACAGGTTCAGAGTTTATTTTGGTAGTAGTATCGAGTTGGGTATGTGCATTTAAAGATGTGGCTGCATTAGAATGGTAATATCAATGATTGGATTTCTTTGCTTCATAAACTTTTCTTCAGTGCTATTTGTTACTTTTTTAGATCGTTACAAAAATTCACAAGAAATGACCAATGTCTTTTTATTGCTTCTAATTTAATTAGATCCTGTATAAAATTGCACTGCTAATACTTACTATTATACTAGGCAATTTATAACAGAAACTTACAAACAATTCAACTATTTTTTATTGAATTGGAAAAAGTAAGCAGAGTTTGAAAGCAGCATTTCAACTTGTGTACTCTTGCCTCTGTCTAGCATCTTCAGCGCTGTCAGCAGCTGTGGGAATAGTTCTGAGAATAGTTCAGCTGTGCAGCAGCAACCTGCTAAAGGGACAGATCACACGTTGTATTTTGGTACGGCATATTAGAATGTTGCTTAACTTGAACAGAACTTAACTTGAACAGAATTTAATTGAAATATGAAGAGACTATCTTTGAAAATAATATTTGGGAATATATGCCAGAGGACGGTTGTATTCCTGTCTTCCTGCAAACAGGATATTTACCAAAAGTCTTTTACTTACGGCTGTGTTGGTCGAGGCTGGACAATGTATTCTGTATCTGTAAGGCAGCAAAGCTTGTACTTGGAGGATGAGCACTCAGTGTACTGCTGATGCATGTGAGGGAATAAAGTGTTAATGGAGATTCAGGAATCCAGACGTGATTTTGCAGTGTGTCACAAACTGTAAATCAGTTTGCGTGTGAACCCAATTCCTCCTTAAATGTTGCTTGATGAATATACTAGTCACTGGATAAAATTACAGATGTGTTCCCTTTACTTTGATTAACAAAGCTTGCAGAAAGAGTCATGTAATGAAAGTATTCAGGAACTCCTATTTTTTTTTAATAGATAATAAGATAGAAGATGCATCCCTCTTTATGAGTCTGATAAAACACTTGTGCTATATTTGATCTTACAACTGGAATGAGTTGTGCTGAAGTAAGTGTAAATATAATTTGTGTTATGTGTTTTGTTTCAGATAAAGGACATTCTCTCAAAAGTTCAAAACAACCACGTGGGGAAATCACTGCTAACAAAACCTCTGAATTCTGATCAAGTGGTAAGAATAAAAACAACTCAATTTTTTTCTGTATTTCACAGGATGGTCGAAATTTATGTTTATGGCTTCATCTGACTGTCCGTTTTACAGTCACTGTTCTAACTGTTGATAATTAACATTCAATTACTAAGTATTAGTAACACTAACATTAATTATGGAAGTATCTGATTGTTAATGTGCTTTGTGTTGATACGTGTATTTACTTTTAAAATACACTGCAGCACTGCACAGATGCACCCTTAATTTTATGTAGTTTATAGAGGTTACCTGGCAATGGCCATTTTATTTGCTGAATGGGGTTGCATTTCATTTGACTTACATACCTGTATAGAATTGAACATTTGGATTTTTGTACTGTAACACTGCAGGAAAGATTGGAAAAAATCAATGATGCTCTTCGCAGTGAATATGAATGTCGCCGTCGTATGTTAATGAAGAGGTTAGATGTGACAGTGCAGTCTTTTGGCTGGTCTGATAGAGCAAAGGTAAGCTTGCTGCATTCTTTGCTTCCTGTAGGTGGGAGTCTGCTACAATTCTGTACGTCTTGTTAGCAAATATACGTACTGTGTAAATACAATTCCATTATTGCTGTCGTGTTTTCAAGTAGTTTCTCATCCTGGGTTATAATATCTGAATCTTAAATGCTGTGGAAGGGCAAGAATTTGACTGAGTGGCACAGGCCATCTTTTGTGAGTGAGTGTCTATAGCTCCAAAAATAGAAATTCTAGCATTCTCTGTTGGGGTTTTTCACTGTAAGTCCACACCTCCCTTTTTCTTCCCTATGTCCATCTGCCCCCAGTGAAGTAAAGAGGAATCCTAAACACTTCTCTTAGAAATGCAAGAGAAAGCCAAACACTGGGCCTTAACATAGATAACTCACAAGGTCAGTGAGATTATTACAGTGACTGTAATCTATCTTGGATGCAAAACAACTGAATAAGCAAATGGTCAGCTGAAGAGCTTGTCTGGGAAAAGCACACAATTACTTCCCCTCCTTCAGGTGACTGACCGAACCACTACTGTGGATTTTGTCTGCTGGCGTTGTTTTGTTATCATGTAATCACTAGGGTTGAAATGACCTCTAAGACCATCCAGTTCAACCATCCACTTACCACCAATATTTCCCTACTAAACCACATCCCTCAGTTCAGCATCTAAATGTTTCTTGAACACCTCCAGGGATGGTAGATTCCCTTGGTATCCTATTCCAGCACCTGACCACTCTGCTTGAGAAGAAATTTTCCCTAATATCTAATGGCAGTAATTTCATTTTTATGATTTCCTAGCACCTGTATATTAAAAAAAATAGTAATGATTTAACCCAGTCTGATATTTCTGACCTAGAAATGCATACTATTTCAACCCAGTAACATAAGAAGAGAAGATACTAAAAGTTTGTAACATGATGAATATACATGCAGGAATCTAAAAGGAGATATTTTTCCTCATGAGCTGCAAGATAAACTTTTCTTTCGACAGAAGATGAAAGTGTAGAAAGTTAGGACTGAAAGCGGTGTCAAAATTTGGCATGGATGCATGCAGACACAATCTTTTTTATGAAGCTCACGAAGTATCACTGAAAGTTATGAGTCAAAGACTCCTGTTTCTGAATGGCTACTTCAGTGTCTGCTGGGGTTGTGAATGCTTCTATGCAGAAAAAGAAGAAAAGAGAGGGCTTTTACCTTGAAGTTGTCAGATTTCACGCTGTGTGTAACTTCTCGTGCTGTAGCAATATAGCTATAAATTTTCAAATGTAGAGTGTAGTTCTAGGATGTAGCTGATGTTGGCTCATACTTTTTTTAAATCACTTGATGTTATTTCAAATGACATTTGAAACAGTGAATACTTTCACAGCAGAACAACAGTTCAATGAGATTTTTAGTGACTCTAAAATAATAAGATGGTTCACTTTCCTGTTGCAAAAGAAAAAAAAACGTTGATATGAAGTAGTATGCAGTTACAGAAATAATTCTATTATATATTAATTAAAAACTGCATTTGATTTTTTTAAATCCTTTTCTCCTCACTTTTCTTGTAAAATACTTGTTTAGAACTTCTCCAAAGAAGCTTTTGGGATTCAAAATGTTTCGATATTGATGTTTTTTTTGAAGCCAATCAGCAAGTTATGTTCCTTTTTTAATTCAGTTTCTAACTTGCCTTCCTTCCTTACAGTGAGGAATCTAAATTTTAGTCTTAGATATATTGTAAAGCATCAAAGAATGTTTGCTGCCAGTGGATAGGAGAGTTTCTGTTGTAACCATCTGAGTTTCAGCAGCATATTTTGTACATCACCATATGAAGAGAATTGATGACAACTGGCACAGTATTTTGTAAGCCAACCTAGTTTTCAGACATTACAGCCACTGCAACTTACTGAGAACTGTTCAGTAAGTGTGTTTTACGGCCTACATACAATAAGTGTGTTTGTATGTATGTCTAGCAAGTAAGTCATGTTTGATTTTTATCATGTAGGTAAAAACAGATGACATAGCACGAATCTATCAGCCCAAGCGCTATGCATTATCTCCAAAGTCAACAATAACATTAGCTCACCTTCTTGCTGCTCGAGAGGATTTATCAAAGATCATAAGAACAAGTAGTGGATCAACACGAGAGAATACAGTCTGCGCAATCAACAAGGTAACTTTTCTTTCTGGGATATGATAAAAGGACTTGGGATTTTACAGACCTGTCAAAAATTTGGGGTTACGTTGTGTTTAATATTTTTATTCGTTTTTGAAAGATGGGTACACTCGGTACTTTAGAAAAGGAAAGTTTGCAGCATTCCAGTAAACATTGCAACAATTTTTTTTATTTTATTTTATTTTTGTATTATTATCTTATAACACAGTCAGTCATAGAAAACAGTAATCTAGATGAGCAGGTACAATGGAGGAGGTAGACAGAGTTCAGAAATTACTTTTCCCTTCCTACAGAGTTGTGCTTTTCAAACGGTAGTCTAAGAATGCAGGACTACTCTAGTCAGTTCTCAGGATCAATAAATGCTTGATTAGACTATTCAAGAGCAAGATAAAGACAAGAATCACCCTTTTGTTTTGGGATCCTTATTATCACAGGAAAGAGACTTTGTTCATTCATCATAAAAGTGTAGTAATAGTTCTTTCTTTTGCTTAGTCAACACAGAAACAGGGTGTGTTAACTGGAGAACTGTTATCATTCCTTAGAACTACTAGAGATCAAGTAGAGCATACTTGTAAAACAGGGGAAAGGAAGAAGTTGTGCTTCAGGGTTGCCTCACAAGCTGGCTTATACTTCATGTTAGGATCAGTAGATAAATAGAGCACTTACCACATTTGGATTTATTATTAATTGGTTTTGGTTTTTATTTGTTTGTTTTACTTTGGGGTTATAAACCCCCAGTATAGGGGTATGTATTGACAAAAGCGTTTGTGTGTGTGTGATGACTACTTGAATTCAGTGGAATTGCATACCTCAAGTTAAGGATACGTGTTATTCTTTCTGGTATAATGCTTGACTACATGTTGCTAGGTTTATGTTGTTCAGTTCAGTACAGTTTATTATGCCAAACATAGTAATGAAGAACTAAAATGCATGTCTTTATTTCTATTTGTTGACAAACATCTTTATTGGTATATTATAAATCACAGAAGTTTCAATAGAAGGGACATTTTTTCTGCACAGTAACATTTTATTTGGCTATCTGTAATCAAAAAAAAAAAAGAAAAGAAAAAATTGCACTGCCTTCTTGTGTATAAAAAAATAAACCAAAACCTCAAAGCATGCAAGTAATTTCATTAGATCCACAATTCAAGTGGTGACTTATTATTAATCCTGTTTTACAGACTTCTTAAAGTTTTGTTGTCCCACTTAGATATTTTTTAATGTGTTCTGATCCCAAAGATTCTGAAGTTTTCTAATTATTGTGTGATCTCTTTTTTGTGTGTGTGTTTTGTTGGGTTGGTTGGTTGTTTTTTTTTTTTTTGTAAGAGGTCTTTGATTGGAGTGCCTGGGACTGACTCAATGTCAGTTAACATTCATCATACAAAGAGTTTAGGAAATCTGGGAATTACAACAAAAAGGCACATCTGAATACCTCTTTGTTCTTCAGCTTGATATTTTGTGAAGCTTAGTCGAGTGCAATCTCCTGTTTTGTACACTGGATAATATCCACCAAAGATCATTATTTCTTTTCTTGAAAGTGTTATGGAAGCATGTTGTGCCTTTTTTCTGTTCTGCCTTTCTGCTCACTGCTTCCTAATGTAAGGTAAACTGGCGTTTCTTTTAAGAGCTGCATGCCAGTCTGCCAATTTTTGTTTTTTGCTGGCTGATTAGGTTAGAACATGTTTTTGAAATAAGAGTAGAAAAGCAAACAGCACAATAATCTTTATGTGTATGTATACATTTGAATTATATGCTACTTTGTTGCAATACTTGGCATGCAGTTTTCTTTGTAACTATTTCACAGCAGTGTTACTAGCTAGCTAGCTGTAACTACTTAACTTTTACAGATAGAAAATAGGATCACTTTTGGAGTTCTTGCCACATGTTGCTGGCAAGTTAGAAAGAAAGGAAATAGGAATTCAGCTGTCAAACTCCACTCTGATAGGAACTTATTTCCTCTGAAGAGCATCAGCATGTCTTCGTCCAAAAAGAATTACCCTCTGTCCCTTCAAGTTATTATATCCCTCTGTTTTTCAATATAGGTTCTGATGGGGAGAGTACCTGACCGTGGAGGCAGACCAACAGAGATTGAACCACCTCCTCCTGAAATGCCTCCGTGGCAAAAAAGACAGGAAGGTGGTGGAAGAGGTGGCTGGGGAGGTGGAGGTGGGGGTGGGGGTGGGAGGGGCGGCTGGGGTGGGGGAGGAGGTAGAGGAGGAGGTGGGGGTGGCTTTGGGGGTGGGGGTGGGGGTGGTTTTGGGGGTGGGGGTTTCAGAGGTGGTGGAAGAGGTGGAGGTGGTTTCCAAGGTGGCAGGGGGGACTATGGTGGCAGGGGTGGTTATGGTGGCAGAGGAGGTTATGGAGATCCGTATGGTGGAAGAGGAGGTGGAGGATACCGGAGATACTGAAAGAGTAACAGATGAAATATAGTGGTGGTGTTTACTGGTGTCAGGAATTTAGAGATGGTACCTTTGGTTTAGATTAGATTTAAGTATGACCATGTGAATCATTGCATTCGACCAACTGATGTTGTCATTGAATTCTTTTTAGTTAAACGAACAGAACTTTTTATACTAAAATATCATGACTAGAGTCCTCGCTTTTCGTACTGGTTGTGTTTTTTCTTTTATTATGTTCATTTATTTAAAATAATTCTCAGAAAACTGAATAAAAACCTTTTTAAAGAAACAGAATAAAGATGATGTTCAGGCCTCTCTAATTATTGCATGTTGCACATGAATTCTGCTCCAAAAGCTGGATAAAAAAAAAAAAATTAAAAAGTCAGACCTAAGAACTTGAGGGAGATGCTTCTGAAACTCCAGAATGCTGCTTCTGTGCTTTTTTCTTTATCCAGTTTTCACATCGGACATATTGAAGAACTTCAGTTTCAAGTTGTCGCTTAAGGCTTTGGTCAAAATTATTCAATGAGCTTTCCTGTTCTTTCAGAACTTCACATAAAAGTAATATTTTGAATTAGTTCTCTACAGATACTAATAAAATTAGGTGGCTTTGTGTGTTCATAAATATATCAGAGATTAACTGAAGGTCAGAGCATGTACCACAAAACCTGAATCATGGTGACTTTTGATGTTTATTTTTCCTTTACTTGCTTTTCATATTATTGGTGTTTCATAAAAGCATTTTCTACTACCATCATGTCCAGTTGGAGTTCATTTATATACTCTTTCTGCATCAGCCTTTAAAAATAAAGGTCAACAAAGTTCAGTTGCCTGAGAAAGAGCAGGCTATTTCTTTTTTTCTCCTGCCTACTTTCTCTATTTGGCAGCTGCCAACTGCCAGCTGATAAGTTATCTCACGCAGCAGTTGCTCCTCCCCATTGAGGTTTCTGGAAAAAGTTCCAAAATAGCATTCAAAGGCTTTGCTTTTTTACACTGTCACCCAATTCACCCAATTGGTCTGATAAGCTGAAAGAAACTCTGTCTTAATACATATGGATACCTTCTCCTTCACAGATAGCGTTTCTCTAGTAAAAGAGCATTTAGATGAAGTGAATTTTGTATAATTATGGCTGTAAATAGATTTATTAAAATAGATTAAGTTAAGTTCAGGGCTGTCAGCTATAACTTATGTCTGTTATCTAGCTTCTTTAGGTCCCTCTTCTGTTGTGATGCCATTTGTGAGTAGAGGTAAAACAGAGAGATGATGCCCAAGTATATATTCACAATAGTATTTATCAGGGTCATGTTACTGCAGAGATTCAGGAAGGCATCTGAACCTGGGTATATCTCGTGACAGAAACCTTGATGTGCTTTCAAGGAATATATAACTTAGACTTATCTGCAGCTGAACTTTAAGATTTGAATTTGCATTTATGTACCACAGTTATGAGTTTGTTTGTTTGTTTTCTTTCCCCCACAAACTTGCTGTTGGTGTCCACGTTGCCATGCATTAAAGTTGTTACCCTGTCTTCAGGGGCACATGCATCATGTCCTCAATAGACAGATCTATGTAGGAACGTAGAGCTCTGTTTAAAATTAAGTGATTTTCTGGCATGTTGTTTAAAAACTTGTGCCAGATTTTATTAATTAGCTACTACCAACACCTTCATTTGAAATTTTAGACTAGATAAACTTTAAAACTTTCCTTCCTGTTATTTTTCTGTATGCTTATTTCTGAGAATGCTGCTTTATAATGTGATTGGTACAGCCTTGACCATACTTTACAGTTCCAGTAGGCTTCTAAGAAAAGAGAGTGGGAGACTTCATTGCTTGTACATGTTGACTTGAATGTGAACTCAATATAATGAAGTACTCTGCTGGCTGAACTTCACCCACCTTCTAGCAGTGTCATTTTCACTTTGTTTCTACACTCGTTTCTGTTAGCCTCTGCTGCCATTGTGGAGAGGAATTTCAAGTGGAAGCATAGTACTCATTTTCTTTCTTTGGAGACTGATTTTTGCATAGTGCTATAGAAGTAGCTCACAAATGACATTTCGAGTGAGACTGCTGGCTATGGAGGTGACAAGCATTGGTCAGCAAGGGAAGAGGGAGAGCAGTTTTTAACAAGCAAAGCCTTAATTTAAAATTCTCTTTGCTAATCCTATGCTGTTATTTTTGCTAAAAGTAACATACGAACAAGAATCAAGAGTTCAGTTTCACCAAGGATGTAGGCTAGGAAGTTCAAGTGGTGTATCTATGCATAAAGATTTCATCAGTCTTAAGATGTGAAGATGCACTGGGTTTGTTGACCCGTAGGGCTGGTAGAACCGTAGTAATTGTGTATGTGCCTCAGTGCTCTTACAGTTGTCAGTTTGTGCTGTTTGTAGCAGAATAGTTCAGAGTAAAGTAGATGAGATTTGTGCCTCCATCCAGTTCTAACAGTTAAATTATTCCAGTACTGTTTTCCAATTATTTTTTATATAGACATTGTAAAAGACAAAAGTTTGAATAAGTTGAGGTTTTATGGAAGATACTTTTTTTAATTTGAGCCATTTCATATTTTCTTCAGTAATTCCAAAGTGTGAAGCCAGTAGTAGAAAATCAAAGTAAGCACCACCACGTTTCATAGAGGTATCCCTTTCTCAGTCTTCTCTGTTGTCAGAATATATGTTATTTTATCAGAAGATGGAATAATACCATTAAAACAATTGATTTAAACCTCCAACCCTTCTGTTTCAGTCTTGAAAAAAGTATTTTCAAAAATTATGTTGTAAGAAAAAAGCCGTTTTATATGTCTGTGATTATTTCTGTGTTTATTCAAATTCAGTTAATTGTTTTGGTTGAATCAAGAATTGAAGATGACTTTTGTGTCAGGGCTGAAGAGAGATGGTTTTGTTAACAGCTGTAAACACTGAGGAATAAAGTACTGTATTTGAAGTTATTTGCATCACTTGTGTAGTGTGATTTTGATTCTCTATTCATATCTCCTGTGCTTGCAAGAAAGATTTCCTGCTGGTGATTTGAAATAATGATGAAACGTGCTTTTTATGATCGTGAAAAATAACAAATTTTGACAAAAGTAGAGAAGGCAATAGATAACAATACAGGAAAAGTTTGCCAGACAGAAGAGGTCCCAAATATATCCTGATTACGTTATCTGGAGTTACTAAGGAATCTGTCTCCATTGAAGGACACTCAGTTAAAATATATCTTAATACAAAAAGAAAATTGCATATGTTTATCTGATCATTACTTATGTCTTTAGGTAAATTAAGGAAAAACTTCACAAGTAGTGAACTGAAGTAGTAATTGGAGGTTTCCCTTTTTTTTTTTTTTCTTTTTTTTTTTTTTCACTTCTGTAATTTTGAAGCAAAACACACCTTGCTCTGTACGTGCAAAGTTGGGAGAGCAGATTTGCCTGTAAGTAGGAATGGTGTTTTTCAGTAGTCAGCACCCTCTTCTTCCTTCCCCTCCCTCAGATATTTTGATGTTCACTACCTGGCATAAAAACATTCATGAGATACAGTATTTTGAGTTCTGCAGTAAAGAATAGCAAAGGTTGAGGATGACATGACACTGCCTGTACTAGCCTGGTAGAAATTGCAGAAGCCTTGTTTAAGCTTACCTATCGTGCTGTAACATCTTCTGAGAATGAATGTTCTTAACAAAAGCAAGACTGTGCTAATGAAGAACTGTGCTTGGTAATACCTTGAACAGTGTAATGGCAAAACAGTGTCTGTATTGTCTCAGCCTCTAAATTCTGAAAAAATAATCTGAAAACGCCCAGCGTCCCAAGTTCTCTCAGTATCAGGCTGAAGAACGTAAAGGTAGACTTGAGACTCATATATATCAGGTCAGTCCTGCAGAAGTGTTCCAGATGACAGACTCAAGGAAAATAAATATCTGTTGTTAATGTTTCTTTCTTTCAGATACAAACTCAGAGGCAAGGTACAATTTTAACATTTTTTTCTATTATAAATATTAAACTGATTTCTTACACTTTACATAAATGTTTACAGTCTGTACACTTTTTCAATCTTCTTTAATAGTACTGAAACAAAAATGGAGTTTCTATAGAGATCAGTTCCCCCAGGATAACAGATTGCTACTGTAACAGAGAATTCCAAAAGATAATATTGTTTTGTATTTTCAAAAGTTTATGTAAGCTATTTTAAATGCAATGGTCTTCAGTATTAACATTAGCTCTGGCCTTTTCATTGTTATATCATTCAGTCTACTTACTTTCATCTTTTAAGGATCAGAATTCACACTTAGAAAATAAACAGTAGTTGGGGTACGAACATTTCATTTTTTCTTCCTTTCTGTATGTATATGAAACACAGCTGAGCCTGGAGAAAGAATAAAGGTGAGTGCTTTTCATTTATATTAACTGTGACAAGATAAGTTTTAAATGGTGTTCAATACCAGTGCTTCCTGATGAGTCCTTAGTACTTAGTACTTTCATTATTTCATTTTTCCTAGCATAAAGTAGCAGTAAGATCAACAGAGATGTGGGTGATTTTTGCTCAGTAACTTTGTCAGTTTCATCAGTATCCTTGAACAGTCAGTATTTGCTATTAACACTATTATTTCATGCAGCAAAAAGGAAGTTGCGAAGTAATAACAAGGGATTACCACCAAAACAAAGCAACAACAACAACAAAAAACATTACAAGAGGCTTTGGGGAAACACCCTGAAGGTATCTGGAGAGCTTTGAAATTTTTCAGGTATCAACAAATTCATCTGAAGCAGTAAGTTTTCAGCATACGTGATGTATCATGTATGGGTTCTGTAAGATGATCCTGCAAACAGGTTGGGTTTAAATCATTCTGTTTATAGGAACAGGGTGACAGAAAAGTAGTTTTAATTTCAGACTGTATAAGTCTACAGTCTTGACTTGGTTTTAAGCATTAAGTACTCAACGTTACTAACACAGTAACCTTTGGGTCAGCTGTTGACATTAGGGAACTTTCCAAATACTGATTCGTTAATTTGCTCCCTCTTCCACCCTCCTAGAATAGGCAGAGTGTGTGTATATATATATGCATACACACACACATACAGAAATTCTGTTAGAATTGAAACCATAAGCAAGCAGAGTTTCTTTAGATGCACCAGATTTGCCAAATTTTGCTGCTCTTTTAAGGTATTTTCCAAATACATTGAAATATTTCCAACATTTATCCTGTTCCATTTAGTTGTTCTAGAACTAGACTTTTTATCTGCTAAGTGTGTATTAGAAATACTTCTTACTGTAGTCCTGTAGAGAGGACAAAAATCAAGAAACTCAGAGAAAATTGGCAAAGCAAATGTGCAAATATGGTTTGAGAGCCATTTTGACTGCTTCACTGATCAAAGTGCAATTTCATGTTAACTGTTAATAATTCAGGTTTAGTGTATGAGGAACAAGTTTCACAATCTTCACAACAGCTAGGTTTGTCATATGCATTTAAATTCTTTACAGATCATATTTATTTACAGTAAGATAACAGAAAGTCTACTACTATTACTACTACTCTCTCCCTTCATTTGTTTTTATTTAGTCATGGATGCAAACACAACTTAAGTTCTAACTAGGAACTTAGAACCAGTAGATTAGTAAGTAGTTTCAGGTTGACTTTTCAAAAAAATAAATTAATATACTTGACAATGGCTGTAAGCTGGAAACAGAGCATACATCTAAGCCACTGAACACAAAGCACACATGCTGTAGTAAGGGGTCAACTAAAAATTTAATCTGTCATGGATTTTGTAAACTAATTTGCAAGTTTTGAAGAGCATTAAGTATATCGCAGAATTACAGCATGTCAGGGATTGGAAGAGACCTCGAAAGATCATCAAATCCAACCCCCCTGCTGGAGCACGAAAGTATGTTGTTAATAGATATTAGTTAGTTTTAGTTTCTGCTGTTTAAATGCTCGATGCCATCCCTTTTTTATAAAAGCAAGTAAGTTTTATACAATTCTAAGAAATATCGTGAAATGCAAATGAAATTTTAAGGTTGGCTCTTATGACTAAAAGATTCACCAGTAACTCGAAAGACTGATTTGTCATCTGTTAACAGTATGTACACATTATAGTTTTAAGAAAACTACATTACCTCCCTAGCACCTTTCACTGTACAAAATCTACACATGTAAGAGCACAGTCACCTTGACTCTTCACCTAAAGTGCATATGAAATCTATGAGGGAAACTGAAAAAATCCTGGTTAGAACCATAAGATGTTAGAAACTGGAATACAATATCCATTACACTGAGATTGCTATGCAGTTTCCTTCATAATATGGTCTTTAAGGTTCTACTCAGAAGCTGCAACACTGATATGCACTTTGATGTTAAAAAAATTAGTCAGTGTTATCCCTGTGTTATCTGCAGTACAGGGACAGCAAGCTATCCCTTAAGCCCAGTGAGTAGGGCTATGTATTCTAAGCCGTAAACTGGAATACTGAAATGGAAGCAGAATTCACTCTAAACTCTCTCTAGTCTCATATTTTACCTTAAAGAAGTTTTAAAACGTTTGTCAGTATGCCCTAACAAAGTCTAAAAATCAGCTTAACTAATTGTATTAATATTCATGCTAAACTCTAGAAGTAAAGATGACTGTCTGCATAATGTTTTTAATTGGTTTCAGCCACAATGAGAAAGAACTCTCCCTCTTGATGGAATACAGCTTTACTTAAATGCTTATCTCTACTGAAACATTTGTTTCTACAAACCTGAATTTGGGCCAAATCTGAAGTGACAGTCTTATGAGTAGCTACTTAGAACACTTGTAGAGTGAGATGTGTAGCCATGTCACTGTAGAATCCACATGGTCATCATGTACATAAGCTTCAGGAACAGTGTCACTCCTTTCAAAAACAATTCCAGAAGATACTGTGTTCATTGTGCAGATGATGCTAGCATACCTAAAATTGAAGGAATTCATTTATAGACTTGGGAGTGTGTTTTCAATAGGGAAATATATAGAATAAAGACAGTATTTCTGTTTTAAAATCCTTTGGAGTGTCTTTCCAGTTTACTTGGTAAAGCAGCTTTTTCACAGTTGTTCCCTTCAGTCTTACATTCTTCCAGAAGAACCTTCCCTTCATCTGCTAGGAGCAGTCTTCGTGTTGTAGATTGTCAATAACATGATTTTTTCTCTGAATTGTAAGAGATTCAATTATTTTTTGTGCCTGTTCCAGTTGCATCTTTAAACCTTCATTGTCTGCCTTTAGAATATTTCTTTCCTAAGGAAACAAACAAACAAAAAATAATGGTATTTGACTTTACATTTGTTTCAGGGTTGTCTGGTTGTGCATATAGGTTGACTGGCATAAAGATCAGTTGGTGTAGCTCTTAGCAGCAGGGAACAGTATGTTATTTGACTGTTTTCCAAACTTGAAAGAAATTAAGGGCTACAAAAATGATATTTGTTTTGTTTTTCTTGGGGGATGAGGTGAGGGAGTGGAGAGAAACATGCCTAGATATTTATCTGTATACCTTTTTTTTCAAAACCAAAATGCTGAAAGATAAAATGTAGGGACTATGCACTGAAAATAATTTGATCTTAACAAATTCTTATAGTTCTCTTCCTATCTGTCTCTAAGACTGTAATAAGTCCAGAAAATTCAATGGGAATGTGACCATCATTTTGTTTGCTTATAGAATGGCACAGATTAGTGCTTTAGGGACCATCTACTACATGCTATAGCAGTTAAAAAAAAAAAAAAATACAGATCACATGTGCTCTGTGAATGCAAAACTAAAAGTGTGGACTGTGAATTTTAAAGGCAAATACAATAAATAGACTATTCTGAGTCTGAGCTACAGAAATATCTAGTGAGGTATTTAAAATGCAAGATAGAATTAAATGGAACTAGTGTTTTGAGTATGTGAAGATAGTGGTCTGTCTCCTGGGAGGAAAATGTCAGTTTCACTGTTTCTTTTAAGATGGGT